ACTGTAGATGGTTCTGATCAAGATAAAGAAAATCAGTTAGGATTGTAGCTTAATGATAGAAATCTTTGGGGGCAGGGCTGGGCGGTGGAAGTGGGGAAAGACACACCCGGGGGTGCTCAGGGCTTACTCCTGGCTCTGTACTCAAAGATCATTCCTGGTGAGGCTTGGAAACTATATGGGGTTCCAGGGATCCATCCCAGGGCAGCCACATTCAAGATAAGTGCTCTACCCACTAGACTATTACTTCAGCCCCAGTGATAGAATTCTTGCTTAAAGTTCTGGGTTGGGTCTCAGGCACTGCAAAAAATAGGGGAATGTTTTTAAAAGACTGAAAAAAAAATCATAGATAATCTTGGTTCCATCAAAAAAATGTGTATTTATGATTACTTGTTTCACCATAGGTAAAGTTGGTTGTTTTCATTGCTTTGTTTTCAGAATTGGTTTATTTTGTTCAGATGCTTCAAAAAATTAAGTATTTCAACTGCAGAACCTAGTTCTGCCCATTTTATATTGGTTTCTTCACACAGTGTCTTAGTTTAGGGACTTGGATGCCACTTCCTATGGAATTTGGTCTTATTTAGAGACTTGTATTTGTCACAGCTAGAGGGAAGGGGTGGGGATGGTTACTCTGGCATCTATTGGGTGGGAATCAGGGATTCTACTCAACATCCTGCAGCCTGGAACAGAGGTCTGACCCCAAATTTTTTTTTTTTTTTTGGCTGTGTTTAGCTCCCAGTTGCCTGTTGAAAGCTGTGGCAGTCATTCTTGTTAATACTTTTGACTAGGATATAAATGTCCCAACTCTGGTAACTTCTTGGAAATTAAGATTTCCTGATGATGTTTTTTAAAGAGGGTTCCTGAGGCTGGGACTAGAGGGTTGAGGAAATACCCGCCTTCTGATTAAGTTTGCAGAGGTCAAAGATAAACATTAATATTAAGTATCAGCTAGGTGTCCCAATATTTATCACTTTATATGTTTATTTATATGATATATTTATACCCCACAATATTTATTGTGAGGTATAAAATATTTTAAAATAGCACATCACATTTAGATATCTTTATATGTGTATTTACATACTATATATGTGTATTTATATAATATATACGCCACAATATTTGTAAAATATTTTAAAATAGCACGTCACATTTAGATATCTTTAAAGAAGTGAGAGTGGGAGAAGGTTGGCTTTCTTGTCCTGCTGGGCTAGTTGTCCAGTACAAGAGCCGTGTGGTGCTAGGGATACCTGTGCTGTCCCAGTTGTGCTGGGGGCCCCTCCTCTGGGGCAGCTCTCAAGGAATCATGTAGTGCCAGGAATTAAAGCTATGATAGTGCATGCAAGTCATATGTCATAACTGCCATACCAGCTCCTAGAAATTCATGTGATTCCTTTTGACTGCACATTAATGATATTATTAAAATTATCTTTTATTGTTATACATCTAGAGATTTTATTTATTCTATTAGTATATAGGCCAGTTCACTAGCTAAATTTTTTCATTTTGTATGATTTGCTAACTAGCTTCAAATGATGCTTTAATAATACTTGAGGGTGAAAGTCACCAGCTGCCAAATCATTCCAGGTAGATAGACCTTTGGGCTGTAATCTGAGGCCTTCTCATAATGGGGGTGGGCAGATGCCCCTCCCTTCCAGAGGCCTGCAGCCTATATAGCCAAACTCCTCTGACATATGAATGGTGCAGCTCCACAGCTTCTGGAGCCTGCAGCAGTGTATGTAGCCACCCGACATCTCCATATTTCACAGTAGTAATAGCCTAGTAGGAGCACAGCAGATTTGATGGGAAAGTTGCATAGGAGAACACCAAGCTCAGTGAGCAAAAACAGTAACATAAAAGGCTCAATCAGCATCAATCCGCTCAGCAAATCCTTAGACAATTACTTCAGTGACACCATTGTGCAATACAATAATTACCACAAATCGATTTTTATTGATCTATTTTCTGATAATTCCACTTACCATTTTGCTGTAACAAGCAATATGAATTAAATTTGTGCCTGCTAAGGGGAGAGGCTTGGGTGGTGGGTGGGAAACTAGAGGCATAGGTGGAGGGAATCTCACATGTGATGAGATTAATGTTGGAACATTGAATGCCTGTTATAAGTAACCTTGTAAATCATGGTGTTTAAATTAAAATTATTTTCAAATAACCATTTAAAGAAAAAAATACTTGGGTTATAGAAAATATTTGGGTTACTTATACAGGGATTGTATTGTAAGAAATTGACTTCTGTTAATTTAGAACGTGACTGTAAAAATGTGCATGACGTTTATATAAGAAAAATGTAGGTTTACCCTATACATTTATTTAATAACCTGTACCAATTAGAAATTAATAATAAGAAAGTTTCATTTTTCGGTCATTTTGGGTGCTACTGGTGTTTTATGTCAATTTTGTGGTCTTGATTCAGGAAAGTATTTTACTGGGTATAATTTTTGAGTTAAGTTTCTGAAGGAACACCAGAAATCCTTTCCCTGAATTTTGGCAGACATCAACCTGCAGCACTAGAGCAATTGTGTTAGTAGCTAAGATAAAGACTGGCCAATGCACATAGGTACAAGCATATATGATAAAAGGATATGATAATAAGAAAAATGGTTGATGGGTCTAAAGGTCTAGTAGTACAGCAGATAGGGCCCTTGTCTGGCATGCAGCCCACTCAGGTTCAACCCCGGACACCACATATGGTTCTTCCAAGCCCCACTAGTAATGATATCTGAGCACAGAGCCAGAAATAAGCCCTGAAAACTGCCCGGGTGTGACCCCCCCAGATAGAGCACAAGCACTGGCGGTGGGAGCCAGGGTGGGAGATAGAATCAGGAATGCACAACTGGATTACTCCAGTGCCTTTGTCATCCTCAGAATTTAGCTATAGCTGTTAAATTGACAAAGGTAGAAGGAATTAAGAGATTTCTTCTGTATGTGTCAAATGGTATATTTATATTCTTGCTCCCTAGAGGATGGTTTATTGGCTTTCCACCTGGATGTGTGAATAATCCATATCCATGCTCTTTTCCCACCAAAGTATGGTTTCAGTAAGTGCCTGCTTGTCTTTTAAGTTCCATTATAACTGCCTTCAGAAGCAGATAACTGAGGGAAGTTCTAAATAGTTGAAAAGAACTGTGTTTTTCTCACATGCTGAAGAAATAGGGATTTAAAGTGGCATTTTGAGATTTGCTCCTTAATGATGATAAATAGTTTAAATATTTTATACTTTTTTCCAGTGATGTTTCTATTTCTAATTATTATGATCTTTTGTTGTTGTTTTGTTTTTGGGCCACACTCCTGGTGGTCTGGGGAACCAAGTGGGGTGCTGAGGATCAAACCCGGGTGAGACACATGGAAAGCAAGTGCCCTGCTAATTGTACTATTCTCTTTGGCCTTGTTATGCCTTTAAAAAAGATATTTTGTGCATCTAGCTTCATTTCATCTTCATGTTTATGTTTCAGTTAATGCTCTTCTGCAATGTAGTTCCTGTTGTGGAGGGGAAAAAAGCAGATTAGCTCCTGGAGATACTGGGAGTTGGGTTGGAAGAGCATTTCAGAAAAATAAGACATTGTTTTGGGAAGATGAGCAGGAACTATTCTGAACTCGAAAACTGGGAATAAGAAATTTTGCATTTTAAAAATGTAAAGGAATGCTCGCAAGTTCTGGTTAAATCTCAAAGAGACGGAGCTTTTTAACCTTTAGTATTAATAAGTCCATAAGGAATGGAATATTTTGGTGACATCTGTGACTTGTTCCATTTGGTCAGGTATGTGTTACATTTTAATCTTCTGAACAGTGGTTATCACTCGGAATGCCTGAGTTATCCTGAATTCCATCCTTTGAATTGTTAATGGAATACTGCATTATACTGGACCTAAAGCAATCCTTCCAGGCCTTGAATACCACATCTGCTGGTAGTGAATTATTCATAATTACTCTGCACTAACTGTTTGACATGGTACATTTGTATTTCTTACAGTTCACCTGAAGCTCTTTGTTGTTGTACTTTGACAATTCTGGATAGTCGATAATCGTACATTTGATATGCCAAAAACAGTAACAAGTCTCACAATTTGTTGTGAGACATTACTGGTGCCCACTTGAGCAAATTGATGAACAACGGGAGGACAATGCTACAGTGCCCCTCTTTTGGTTTTTAGGCCATACCCAGCAGTTTGCATGGTTTAGTGCTGACTCTATGTTCGGGGATCAATCCTGGTTGGCTCAGAGGACCATCTGAGGTGCTGGGGATTGAATCCAGGTCGACCGTGTGCAAAACAAGTGCCTTATCCCTTCACTATCTCTCTAATCTCCAATAATCATAAATGAGTGCCTTATATTATACTGATTTTTTTTTCCTCATGTGCGTACAGATAACCACACTTGTGCCACTATTATGTGGTATTGAAACTTGGTTCTAATATTTTGATTCTACTTTAATATTACTAGCTTTTCTAGAGAATAATGTTTGGGCTGGAGCAATAGCACAGCGGATAGGGTGGTTGCCTTGCACGAGGCCGACATGGCCGATCCAAGTTCAATTCCTCTATTCCTCTCAGAGAGCCTGGCGAGCTTCCAAGACTATCTTGCCCGTATGGCAAAGCCCGGCAAGCTACCCGTGACGTATTCAATTTCAATATGCTAAACACAGTAACAAGTCTCACAATGTTACTGGGCCCGCTCGAGCAAATCACTGAACAATGGGAGGAGAGTGACAGTGACAGTTTGATAGCTATTACAAGTATGAAGAGGATCCAGTGCCCAAGATCTATTGAAATATTTGGGGGGGGGGTGGTTTTACTCACAAAAAGTATCTGTATTTATCATTCTTTTTTTTTTTTTCAGGAATCTGAAGTGATTATTACCTACAATTGTGGGGGGTTGTTTTGGACTAGTAATTATTTCCTTCAAGAATGTGGTATCACAATAAGCAAGTGAGTGAATAAATTAGCAAATGAATGACTAGATAAATAAATGTATCTTTGTTTCAGGGAAGAGAAAATCCCAGGAAAACAAAAACAAAGTAAACAAAACGGAAGACATAGAGCTGAAGGCAAGTGAGCCATATTCTACCTCTGCGAATATGAGAGATTCTGCAGAAGGTGAGCTTGAAAGGTTGGACTTGTGTGAGTTGGGTGTGCAGCAGCAATCTAACTTTGTGTCTCCTTGGATTGCCTAAAAGAGAATCATACAAGAACTGTAAATGGTTCAATATATAAATGCAAAAGGCTGTCTAAATTTAATAGTCACAGGGCCTTCCATATTCGATCTCCCCGTGAAAAAATATCAGAGATCTTCTGTGTATAAAATGAGATTACTTCCTAGTCAAAACAAAGTTACGCACACTGTAATTGCGTTTATAAATAATTTATCAAGTACAAAACCACCACAGTCTGCTAGGCTATAATAAGGTTTCCGGAGTGCTGTACTGTAAGTTTATCACTGAACTTTGGGTATCACTTCTGGACATAGGCGTGGGATGTGTATTTTTGCACATGAAAATTTTATTAGAAATTTCCTTCCTTTGATTTTATATAGCCATCTGATGAAAGACGTTTCTGATTGTTTTCATTGTTTAAATTTTAGTTCCTGATTTCCCTGTTTCCCACAAAATTTTCTTCTTTATTGTCCCTTTCGATGATTCATAGGCTAGGCCCTTCCTAGAAGAATTCACAGAGAAATGTATTTAATATCAATTAGGAAGGCAAACTGCTCCATTCTCATTGTCGCTGAGACACCCTGATGATACTTCAGCTCTTAGAAATAAAAGAGGTGTGTCTTAATTTGTTAGTGTGACAAGTTTACATAGAGACTAAAGCTTGCTCATGAGCATGGTCACCCAAGTACACAGATTTCAAAATAAAGACTGGTGATCCAGGGCAACAAATTGTTAAGGAAAAAATTTTTTACTTTAGATGTCTTTTAAGTCAATTTAATAGCACTGTTTGTGCTGATAGTATTACAGATTTCTGTGGCATTTTATGAGGAAATAGAGGAATGTATTTCCCTGAACCTTTTAAAGCATAAATTCTGTCTGCTGATTTTCTGAAGACATTTGAAAAGCAACAGGAATGCTTAAAAACCTCACTTTAGTGACAAAATCCACAGCCTTTCCTGTCAGTTATTCAGCAGGTTCCCCCCTCTCCCCCCATAAAACATCAAGTTTTGGGGTGGGAGGTGGGGCTATGATACCAAATATTTTTCTGTATTAGATGGGACAGTTTTTCCAAGTGCTATTGGTTTTGTGTAATGGCCTTGTCAGCATCTCCTGGGTGTTCTGTATTTTCCTAAATAAGAGGTTTGATAAGCTGAGCAAACAAGCCTGTTCTTTTGCTGCAAGCAAAAAAACCAGCTACAAGCTCCTCCTTGCAGCTTTAAACCTCCTATTAAGTTGAAAACTCATCAAGTACTAGATTGATAACATTTTTATGTGGACCTTACTAGTTAGTTAAGTATGGTACATGTTTTGGTTGAAATTACTTTACAAAATGTGTTTTCCCTTTTTAAGATAGTTTTTATTGAAACGTGTTTAGAAAGATATGAGAGAAGACAAAGAGGGGAAATGTGTTCAAGAGAGAGCGTGTTTCTCCAGAGCTGAAGTGGCAAGGAGAAAAACAGAGGGAGAAGCAAGTGAGATACCTAATCAGGGGGACCACTGGCTTGAAATGAAAGCCATTTTGGAACAGTTTTATATCTGGAATTGTTTACCAGTCACAAAAATTTGTGTCGTTTTGGGGACCATACCTGGTGGTATTCAGGTACCACTCCTGACTGTATGTGGTGCTGGGATTCAAAGCAGTGCTGCAGCCACATGCTTGGCTAGTGCCCTGTCTTTGTACTCTCCACCCCACAAAAAAAGAGTGTGTCTGTTAATGGCAGTGCCCATTAATGGTAGTCACATATTTTGTTCTAATATGAATCTTATAGAGAAGAACATTAGAGACCTCTTCTTCTGTTTTATACTCTCTGCTTCTCTCTCTCTCTCTCTCTCTCTCTCTCTCTCTCTCTCTCTCTCTCTATCTTTCTCTCTAAATAACAACATGCTGGGTCTTTATTGAAAATATATTTGAAATACAATATTATCATCACTGATTGTTTTCCCGGTTTGTAGAAACCTGATGAAATTTGTAAAATTTGTATGGGGTAGGATAGGGCTAGTTTCAGTTACAGACAGAAAAACCTCATTTCTAATAAAGGTAGCAAATAGATAAAAAGTAAAGCCAATAGTTGCAGGAGGGCTAAGAGTGAACACGTGAACTTGAAGTAATACCCTATTTTTGGAGAACTTGGAGAGTGATCTTGCTTAGCCATACCCTATTACCAGCCACCTAGTCAACTAACAGACCTTTCTCTATCGCCCTGGCCATTTTCTCTTGCCTCTTCTTCCTCTTTCTTTCCATGTCTGTCTCAGTGTAGACAGCCAGCATGTGCCCTGCTTCAGTATCAGTCTTCTCCTTTAATGTTCCCCTTTTGTGCACTTCATACCAAATGTCCATGTGGTCCTTCATTTTAGAATACCTTAATTCTAGTTGCTTCAGCTAAGTCCAAGCTATAATGTGCTTCATGGTTTGATTTTCTTGGCTTTTTTTGTTTTCAGTCTTGCCTGATAAAACCAGGTTTTATTAGATCTTCCTCTTACGTGTTTCCTGGCAAGATTTACTTCCACAAACATAGCTGCTAAATTATTATAGTATTGTTGCCTTTAATTTTATGTTGTGTCTGTTAGTGAAGCTCTGTGAGGTTAAGGATCTTGAAGTCCTCTTTACTTAGTCCTGGCAGGTAATAAATATTTTTTAGTGAGTAGAGCCAGTTAATAGCACCAAGTCAGAGTAGCTCTGCCTCGTCTGTGAGCCTTTCCTGACTCCTAGTGTCTACAGTAAAAGGACCCTCACTCATCAGAAACTATAGAGACAACAGCATTAAATAAAAGTTCTGTCACAGCTCCTACCTTAGACATCCTGCTTTCCAGCCTCTTTCTCTACTTTCTTTTATAGCAGAGCTTGAAAGAGTTGTTCATGGTCCCTATGTCTTCCTCCTCCCATTCTCTTATGAACAACGTAAGGCATGTTTGTTCTTTTACTATCTAGACCTCCACCTTGGTTAACTGAGTTTATATACCATTCCTCATCTTGTCTACCCACCAGCAATTTTGAACATAGCTGACATTTTGCTTTGCTTAATCTGAGGGCTGCCACTCTGTTGGCTCTGCTCTGTTGTCATTTTCCCTCTCAGCACTGGCTTCATCTGTTCTCTCCCTTTGGATTCATTCTCCAGGTAACCTTGGTCAGTCTTAGATTCCAAGTGCCATTTTCAATCTAATTTCAGGTATTTTTTGTCTTTTTTTTTTTTCATAAACATTTCTTAACTAAGCCTCTGTCAAGTCAGATCCCCCCTCTCTCTTTCTCTCTCTCTCTCTCTCTCTCTCTCTCTCTCTCTCTCACACACACACACACACACACACACACACACACACGTTTGAATAGCTGTTAACTACCTCAACTTCAGATTCAAAGTAAGCTCGTGATGTCTGTCCTTAACAAAGTCCTTAATTAAATGCACAAATGCACCTGCACCATGCACTATACATACACATTTCCCTTGGTTCTCTAATTTGGTAGACAGGATTATTTTTGTCATGGAATTCTTGACAACAATAGTTCTTGCATCTTGTCAGCTTTGTTTCTCTTCCAGAACACCCCCTGCCCCCATTTCCCCACCAAGTTCAAAGGGTACAGTAGGCTGCTCTCTTGCCTCTCAGTTTCTGTCCATTTCTATCTAGAATTTTCTGTCTTCCTTACAGCAGCTGAAATTATTCTTTAATTTCAATGATTTATGTCCTGTTTCTCTGTTAGAACTTTATGAGCAGCTCCCTGTTTCATTCAGTAAAGACAAACAGTCGACAAGGTCTTATGTAAGCTGGCTTGTGGTTTACTCTTGAATTATTCCTGCTCTCCTCCCTCCTGCAGTCCCCTTTCCACCCTACTCCAACTTCCTGTATTCCTTAAACACAGATAGCATGATCTTGATTGAGAGTGTATGCACCTGCTGTTTCCCCCGCCCAGTCCACTTCCCTCATAGATACTTGAATTTCTTTCGGCTTCTATTCTGCTCTCAACTCACTAGTGACTCTTCTTACCACTTGTCTGCTATCTCTCTAAGATTAGGCTCCACTGCGTTTCTCCTGTGCAGAGGTAACCAGATTTCTGTACTTTTGAGTTCTTCATAACTTGATCAAGCTTAAATATTGGCTCTCCAACGTTTCTTTTTCTTTTTTCTTTCTTAACTTGAAAAGTTCTGATAACATGATTCTGGAACTGTTCTAGCTTCTCATTATGTAATTTTATGAAGGAGGAAGAGAATCACTTTGGAGGCATGAGAAATTAGAATTTGCAGTTAGTCTTTTGAAATTGAGCTTATGAACGTTAAGACACAATTTTAAGTGCTCTGGTGTCTATAAACAAAATGTATTTTATTATACATGTGTGTGAGTCAACTTTGAAAAGAAGGAAAGTGCCATGTGGACATCTCCATGTGTTTCCTCACTGTCCAGTATGCTGCTACATAGCCATTTTGTAAATACTTGTTGAATGACTGAAGCCAATACATACCCAATACAATTATAAATGAGAAAGTTATTTATTATCAACCATTATCTCCCCCACACTTCTTTATGTTAAGAAGAAATAACCTAGATAATTGATCATGTACTTGTAGTGACTAGTGTTGCTCTGCTTCTATACTTTCCAGGTCCAAAAGAGGAGGAGGAAAAGCCTGCAGCTTCAGCAGCTGGGCAAATAGCAGTTCCTCAGGAGGTGGTTAATCAGGATGTGCTTCCAGAGCCAGTAATCCCTCCCCCAGCCAGTGAACCACAGACAGAACCAGACGAGAAGCTTGAAGCCACAAACTCTGAGGTGAATGATTTGGAGGAAGAAGAAGAGGAAGAGGAGGAGGAAGAAGATGAATTGGAAGAAGAGGGGGAAGAAGAAGCAGATACACCAAATGACAGTTCTGTGAAAGAGCCAGAAATACGGTGCGATGAGAAACTAGAAGACCTACTAGAAGAACCAAAAATTATTTCAAACGAAACTCTTGAAGACTCTTCAGAAGTACCACCAGCTATCAAAATTCCCAAAACTAAAGAAGAGGCTAATGGTGATGTATTTGAAACATTTATGTTTCCATGTCAACATTGTGAAAGAAAATTTACAACCAAACAGGGACTAGAACGCCACATGCATATCCATATATCTACCGTCAATCATGCTTTTAAATGCAAGTACTGTGGGAAAGCATTTGGCACACAAATTAACCGGAGGAGGCATGAGCGTCGTCATGAAGCAGGCCTAAAGCGAAAGCCCAGCCTAACACTACAGTCATCAGAAGACCCAGCTGATGGCAAAGTATCTGGAGACAGTGGTACTCCAAAAAGTGATTCAAATCCTAATCTTGGGCAAGACTGTCTGATCTTGAATTCAGAGAAAGCATCCCAAGACACAGTAAATTCTTCTGTTGTAGAAGAGAATGGAGAAGTTAAAGAGCTTCATCCATGCAAATACTGTAAAAAGGTGTTTGGGACTCATACTAATATGAGACGGCATCAGCGTCGAGTTCATGAGCGTCACCTGATTCCCAAAGGCGTAAGACGAAAAGGAGGCCTCCTGGAAGAGCCACAGCCTCCTGTGGAACAGGCCCAGCCTTCCCAAAATGTCTATGTACCGAGCACAGAACCAGAGGAGGAAGGGGAGGCAGATGATGTGTATATCATGGATATTTCTAGCAATATCTCTGAAAACTTAAATTACTATATTGATGGTAAAATTCAGACTAGCAGCAGCACTAGTAACTGTGATGTGATTGAGATGGAATCCAACTCCGCAGACCTTTATGGTATCAATTGCCTACTTACCCCAGTGACTGTGGAAATTACTCCAGGTATAAAGACCACACAAGTTCCTATAGCAGACGACCCTTCTAAAGAGCCTTCCAGTAGCACAAACAATGAGTCCAAAAAAAGGAGAACTGCTAGTCCTCCGGTATTACCCCAAATTAAAGCTGAAGCAGAGTCTGATCCTGTAACACCCTCTTGCTCCATAAGTCTTCCTCTTAGCATAACAACAACGGAGGCAGTATCTTTCCACAAAGAGAAAAGTGTGTATCTGTCGTCAAAGCTCAAACAGCTTCTTCAAACCCAGGATAAGCTAACTCCTCCTGCAGGAATTTCAGCAACGGAAATGCCTAAGTTAGGTCCTGTATGTGTGTCAGCACCTGCATCCATGCTGCCTGTGACCTCCAGTAGGTTTAAACGACGTACCAGCTCTCCTCCCAGTTCTCCACAGCATAGTCCTGCCCTTCGGGACTTTGGAAAGCAAAATGATGGTAAAGCAGTGTGGACTGAGGCAGTTCTGAGTTCCAAAAAACCCAAGTTAGAAAGTCATAGCAGTTCACCGGCATGGAGTTTGTCTGGGAGAGAGGAGAGAGAAACTGTGAGCCCACCATGCTTTGATGAATATAAAGTGTCTAAAGAGTGGGCAGCCAGTTCTACTTTTAGCAATGTCTGCAACCAACAGCCCCTGGATTTATCCAGTGGTGTAAAACAGAAGGCTGAGGGTGCAGGCAAGACTCCCGTCCAATGGGAATCTGTATTGGATCTCAGTGTGCATAAAAAACCTTGTAGCGATTCTGAAGGAAAGGAATTTAAAGAAAATCATTTGGTTCAGCCACCCTGCAGTGCTGTAAAGAAAAAGAAACCAACCACCTGCATGCTGCAGAAGGTTCTTCTCAACGAATATAATGGCATTGACTTACCTGTAGAAAATACTCCGGATGTGACTAGGAGCCCGAGTCCTTGTAAATCATTAGATCCACAACCAGAGTCTGCTGTTGGTGTTGACACTACTTTACCTGCCCCTACTGTTCCATCCCCGCCCGATGTTTCTCCTTCATCAACTACTTTGCAGACACCTTCCCTCTCTTCTGGGCAGCTGCCTCCTCTCTTGATCCCAACAAATCCCTCCTCCCCACCTCCCTGCCCTCCAGTATTAACTGTTGCCACACCACCTCCACCTCTCCTCCCTACTGTACCTCTACCTGCTTCCTCTTCTAGTGCCTCTCCTCAACCGTGCCCCTCACCTCTTTCAAATGCCACTGCACAATCTCCACTTCCAATTCTCTCCCCTACAGTGTCTCCCTCGCCATCTCCCATTCCTTCTGTGGAACCACTGTTGTCTGCTACTTCACCAGGGCCTCCCACACTTTCTTCATCATCCTCTTCTTCCTCTTCTTCATTTTCTTCTTCCTCTTCCCCTTCACCACCCCCTCTCTCAGCAGTGTCATCTGTTGTTTCCTCTGGGGATAATCTAGAAGCTTCTCTCCCCGTGATATCTTTCAAACAGGAAGAGTTGGAGAATGAAGATCTGAAACCCAGGGAAGAACCTCAGCCTGCAGCTGAACAAGACATTGTTCAGGAAACGTTCAACAAAAACTTTGTCTGCAACGTCTGCGAATCACCTTTTCTTTCCATTAAAGATCTAACCAAACATTTATCAGTTCATGCTGAAGAATGGCCCTTCAAATGTGAATTCTGTGTGCAGCTCTTTAAGGCAAAAACTGCTCTGTCAGAACATCGCTTTTTGCTTCACGGAGTTGGGAATATATTTGTGTGTTCAGTTTGTAAAAAAGAATTTGCATTTTTGTGCAATTTGCAGCAGCACCAACGAGATCTCCATCCGGACAAGGTATGCACACATCACGAGTTTGAAAGTGGCACCCTGAGGCCCCAGAACTTCACAGATCCCAGCAAAGCCCACGTAGAGCATATGCAGAGTTTGCCAGAAGATCCTTTAGAAGCATCTAAGGAAGAAGAGGACTTAAATGATTCTTCCGAAGAGCTTTATACAACCATAAAAATAATGGCTTCTGGAATAAAGACAAAAGATCCAGATGTCCGTTTGGGTCTCAATCAACATTACCCAAGCTTTAAACCACCTCCATTTCAGTACCATCACCGAAACCCCATGGGTATTGGTGTGACCGCCACAAATTTCACTACCCATAATATTCCACAGACTTTTACTACTGCCATTCGCTGCACTAAGTGTGGAAAAGGTGTGGACAACATGCCAGAATTACACAAACACATCCTGGCGTGTGCTTCTGCTAGTGATAAGAAGAGGTACACCCCTAAGAAAAACCCTGTACCATTGAAACAAACAGTGCAACCCAAAAATGGTGTGGTGGTTTTAGATAACTCTGGGAAAAATGCCTTCCGGCGGATGGGGCAACCCAAGAGACTGAACTTTAGTGTCGAGCTCAGCAAAATGTCATCAAATAAGCTCAAATTAAATGCGTTGAAGAAAAAAAATCAGCTTGTACAGAAGGCAATCCTTCAAAAAAACAAATCTGCAAAGCAGAAGGCGGACTTAAAAAATGCGTCTTCGACGTCCTCGCACATCTGCCCTTATTGCAATAGAGAGTTCACGTACATCGGCAGTCTGAATAAACATGCCGCCTTCAGCTGTCCCCAAAAACCTCTGTCTCCTTCCAAAAAAAAAGTTGCTCATTCATCCAAGAAAGGTGGACACTCCTCATCTGCAAGTAATGACAAAAATAATAGCAACAGCCACCGCAGGAGGACTGCAGATGCAGAAATTAAAATGCAGAGCATGCAGGCTCCTTTGGGCAAGACCAGAGCCCGAAGCTCAGGCCCCACACAAGTCCCACTGCCTTCCTCATCCTTCAGGTCCAAGCAAAATGTTAAATTTGCAGCTTCGGTTAAGTCCAAAAAGCCAAGCTCCTCCCTAAGGAACTCAAGCCCAATAAGAATGGCCAAAATAACTCACGTTGAGGGGAAAAAACCCAAAGCTGTGGCTAAGAATCATTCTGCTCAGCTCTCAAGCAAGACATCACGGAGTCTGCACGTGAGGGTGCAGAAAAGCAAAGCTGTCTTACAAAGCAAATCCACTTTGGCCAGTAAGAAAAGAACAGACCGGTTCAATGTAAAATCTAGAGAGCGGAGTGGGGGGCCAATCACCCGAAGCTTACAGCTGGCAGCTGCTACCGACTCAAGTGAGAACAGGAGGGAGGATGGCAGTGGCAGGCAAGAGCTGAAGGACTTCAGGTAAGCGCTCTCTTCAAGGGCATAGGAGTTAAGAGCTCAAGATCTGGGCAATGGGGGAGCTGAAAGAAAATTGTCCTTACCCAGTGGCTTTTTTTCTTTTCTCCTGTGTAATTTTGACATAAGCATTGAACTGCAATAGCTGTTGCTTAAGTTGTAGGCATGAAGAAAGGGGCACTAGCATTGTAGAGAATGAATACTTAGTTTTATTTCAGACCTTACGACTCATAAAGTGGCACCATTTCTTTAAATGGTGAATTGTAAAATGAATTTGAAAGCATGGAAGAATTCTTAAAAGTGCCCTTTCTGTATTAAAAGACATTATTCTGAGAAATTTCCTTTGTATCTTGCGTAATTCAGTGTCAACTTGTTTCATTTCCAGACCATAGATCATTTAAGATGGCTCGTTAAGGACTGGGGAAGTGGCTCAGTTCATGCCTCGTATCCACGAGGCTTGGGCTCAGTCTTCAGCATCGCAAAAGTTTCAAGAATTAAAAAACTAAAAATAGATGGTTAATTAGTTATTAAAATATGTTGCAATCTTGTTTTATATTTCTTTGACTTACGCATAGTTTTAGCAACAGACTGCTTATATTTTTCATGGTTTTATTGTGGCTTAATTTAAAAAGCTTGCGTCATTGGTTAAAACAAAACACTGTTTCTTTTCAAATGTATTATACCCCTACCCTCTCCTTTCTCCAGCCGTAAGATAATAAATAAGCCAGCATCCAGAGGAACAGAAGAGTAGGAGAGGGTGTGCTTGGAACCCTACAGTGAGGCCAGGCACGTGTGGTAACCAGGGCACATCAGCTTCATTTGTCAGTGCCTTTGTTTCCCCTGCAGTGACGTAAGAATTCATCTTAGATTTGAGATGACTTTATTATTTTATTCTGTGTTCTCCCTACATTAAGATCTGTTCTTAGTGATAGAGTAAAAAAACAACTTAGGACAAAAGTTACATGTCTCACAAAGATTTCTCAAACTTTCTAAGTTACTTAAATAACATGAATTGGTATATACCCTTGGAATTTTGCTTTTTTTTTCCCCCCCTGAATAATGCCTACAGGCCAGTCACATGTGAAATTCATGACCGCCAAACAATTTCTGTTGCAAAATGTTAGAGTCAAGTCCTTTCAGAGTAAGCTGCCTTACTCAGGGCTTTCTGGTCTGTGTCTGGAATTTATTTGGTGTTGAAAACAAAAAGATTGACAGTTAACTGTGAAAGGACTGCTGTTTGGGAGAGATCATGAGGACTCAAATGTGCTTTTTTCACTGTAGTTGATAAGCTAGAGTTTTTGGTGCTGGTGTGCCTTAACTCAGGGTTATAGAAAGATGAACCGAAGAATCATTAGCCAAGACCTATTGGAGTGATTTACTACAGGAATAAAGGATCGTGTTTTTTGTTGTATTTTTTTTTCCAAAGTCACTTTATACTTATATTGAAGAATAAATTGCCATAGATTTTGTTCAGCATCTTGTCTTTGACCATGGCATATGCATATGCTCCAGTCTTGGCATTTAGCCCTGTTAAAAATAAGCACCTGCTTATCAACTGTCAAGGATCCTTGCCTATAGCAGGTTAAACTGCTTGTACTCAGTCTATATTCTGGAAGGTCCAGGATTCTTGTACTGCTTTTCAAGTTACTTACGACTTAAAGAAAAAGAATATACCATTATTTTTCAGACTGCACTAGAAAACAGCTCCTAGGTGATCGATGCTATCACACATTGATGATACGTGTATTTCCTTTCATCTCCCATAGATCTGAAAGAATCACTTTATACTGGATCTCATTTATACAGTTCAGGGGTGATACTGATATGACAAATGAAATTTAAAACTGTGCAATTGTAAATTTAGGAATTTTACATAACCTCTTACTCTCCCCGTATCTTTTTGAGAATCCTTAAGATTGCAAAGAACCAAAGTGCCTAATAAAACTATTTTTGGCTCCATTAATTTTTCTTAATTTTGCTTTGTCTGATGGTTAACAGAGGATTACATTGGTGAAATGCAATTTTTTTTCCTAAAAGGAAACACAGAAGAATGAGACAAGAAAACCTGGATATTGTTCTAACTGGTGGATGGTGGCAGCACTTGTCTGTAGTTAACTGCTCTGCTTTTGTGTGAGCCACTGGAGCTGTGCTGTGACCACATCTGAAGGATATAATATTCTTCATATATAGGCAGGGGTCACTTCCAAGTGACCATAAAGTTCTGAAGTTTTTTGAGGATTAAACAAATGTGCAACAAGATTATATTTTATTTGAACACAAGAGTAGGCATTTAAGAATATGCTGTGGTGTTGGTACAGTGTAATGAGTTTGTCCTAAGACTAGATACCTAACCTCAGCCCTAGGGAAATACAACACAGTGGTTCATCAGTGTCTGGCCCACGGAACTCCACCTCATCCTTGGTGCGTGTTTGTTGTATTGCACTGTTAAAGAGCTGTTTTAATTAGAGCCTTCTTTCCTCTTTCCTCTTTGGCATAACTTTACATATAGAGTTTTATTCAGGGATGATCTCATGGCATGTGTCTGGAGGTATTTACTCCGTTCACAGTGAATTTTGCTTTACTTAGCCCATTACAAATTCTAGGAATTTCATTTCATCATAAAAAACTGTTAAAGAGTCTCTGACCCTCACACATTTTACTTGAAAGCCATTTTAGGATTCAAAAATTTTTGGATTATATATATGTTTGCAACCAGCCATGTGAATGTAGTAAGAGGTTTCCATTGAACCTCAAAAGAATGTGTCAGCTGGTCATTTCCTGAGCAGAAGCTAATGTGTGCCAGAAAGGTGTTGGTTTTTTTGTTTGTTTGTTTGTTTTTTGTTTTTAAAAAGGACATATGCAAGCCACAGATAGCTTTCTGGTGGGAATTTAGATTTGTTATTGAAGACTCATGTCCATGAGTTGTAGAGCAAGGGAGGCAAAGAAGTATACTTTTCACTGCTCCCTCTTACCCAGCTTGGGGTTTTGTAAATCTCAAGGTGTTTTTACATTTTCATAGTGCTCCTTTTAGGTCAGTTTTCTGTTTTTTAAAAATACCATGATCTTGTTGCAGCCAGTCAAAAACGGAGACGCAACAGGAAATTTTAGACTGTTTTCCCATCAACATGAACGAATTAAAATGATGCTAATTTTCCATATGTCCATCTCTGCCACCCCTGCTACTCCAACTGGACCTGCCTGTGTTCCTCCCAGTGTGTCTCTTCTAAGTGGGATACTTACATTTCTGCATACTTTCAGAGTCATTCTGTTGCTATCTTAACGTATGTCTTTGGTCTGCTCACCTTTTCTTTAACATAGTCAATTCATGCAAGGTTCTGTTATGTTGTCATTTATCTTCAGTTTTCTTATTTTCTAGGAACTTGCTGTAGAAAAAGCCCCCCAAACAAACAAAAAACCTTAATTGACTAAGTACAGATCTTGCATGCTCAACTTAGAATAAGCACTACGGCAAAGGATTCGAAATCTATCAAGCTTGCAAGACAAGTTGAAGCTGACTCAAAATCCTAACATACAGCTGATTTCCGGCAGGCTTCTTGTTGCCCTGGTTAGAGTCAGGCATCTGCTTCTTCGTTGGTGCCCAGCAGGCGAGCTGGGCTCCCAGGTGATTGAGATCCAAAGAGGAGGGCGCTGTAAGACGGGTCAGATGAACTGGCTTGTCATCACGGGACTGGTAACTCAGATCCGAGTGTGGCCTTTGTTTTTGGCACATAGCAGAGAAAGGAATGATTTGAACTTAACCTTGCAAAGCAAGTTCTCTGTTTTACTGATAGTTTGTTGTAGGTTTCAGGGATGACAAATTTTGATGCACTCATTTTAAAATGTTTTGGTCACACACCAGCTCTTGATGCCTTTCTTTTCAATGAATTGGGGTGGGGGTGGGGGAGGCATTTAGTTGTTTTTTATATCACAAGCAGATTGCCAGCATAATGGAGAGGAAACCAGATTGGATATAGACTTTTTTTTTTAATACCTCTTCCAGTGTCATGTTTATATATCCAAATGGACATTATCCTCTCAGATCATTATCTGGCACTAATTAATAATTATATTATCAGAGACTATGTAGCAATATCATTGCCCCCAATACATGACAGTCTGTATAGATGTATGTCTACACATAAATATAAATGAATTTACATATCAGGTTTTACACTTAAGTCTCTAATAGAGATTAAAAAATGATGACAAGTAGAAATGACAAAGTGACCTCTTCTGATTATAAAAGTTACCATTTCTCCATGCATTTATAGGCCTTTCTAATTAATGACTGAGCTGGTGGAAAACAGCTAGGTTTTATTTGTGTTTTTTTTTTGTTTTGTTTTGTTCTCAACTTTAAAAGTAATCTACCTCTTAAAATTTGTAGTTTAATACTTGTTTGGTGAATTTGTGCCACTTTAACCCTTTCACTATCATTCCCATTTTGTTACATTTCTGTTATGGGGACTTTATGTTGAAATATTGTATAAAGCATTTGTAGCAGTTTAAAAATAAAATATTTAAAATTATTTAAATTGTTTTGGACGCTTCAATTGTATTGTATGTGATTTGCATCTTATATTTTTGTTTGAGTTGTTAATCTGGAGAGTGTTCTTGTATTGAAGTTTGCTGTTAGTTATTTTATTGTTTCTTGTTGGAGAGTGATATAAAAGACTTCTAATGAAAACATTAAAATTTACAATTTGACTGCAAAAGGGGTTGTCCTTTGATTTTAACCAATGTAGCCTTGAGAGAGAGGTGATTTACAGATACGCAACAATGGTGTTTGTTATTTTCCCCCTTCCAGCATGAAATAAATAATTTGAGCTTGTCAGATGTATAATTTTTTTTAATGCTGTTGCTAGCAGGCACTTAATAACTAGGGGAATTCGATTGATACATTTTATATTAATTGTAACCAATAAAAAAAACCTTTACAAACCCTTGTGAGAGGACTGCATTTTGTACATCATTGGGTTAAAGATAAAGAATAACCTTGCAGAGGCAATTGTGACTCAAGCTCACTGTGTAAAGTTGGCCTTCCATCCAGTTGAGCTCTTTTAGATTGTTTCTTCTTAGCATCAAAGTAGTATTTTGTCTTTTCAAATTGCTTATATGCCACCTAGATGGTAGATATAGTGGATGGAGGTGCTGAGAAGTGTCACTGAATTTACTTTGGTAAGAGAATTTTTTATGTGGGAGGTTCTGTCCTTAGCATCCTCAGCTAATTTGTATGGGTGCCTTATTTTTTTTTATTAAGGAGAGGCAGTAATGCTCAATCTCTCCTGACTAGATATCCCCATTTTTGGCTCATGATTGCCATATGTTAGCTATACCCAGGGTGGAGGCAGCAAGAGGTTGATGTTTTAAAAGTTTTCAGTTACCTATTTTAAAAACTGGGCTGGAGCGATAGCACAGTGGGTAAGGCGTTTGCCTTGCAAGCGGCCAATATGGCCGAACCGAGTTCGATTCCTCCGCCCCTCTCGGGAAGCCCGGCAAGCTACCGAGAGTATCTTGCCTGCACGGCAAAGCCTGGTAAGCTCCCCGTGACGTATTCGATATGCCAAACACAGTAACAACAAGTCTCACAATTTGTTGTGAGATGTTACTGGTGCCCGCTTGAGCAAATCGATGAACAACTGGAGGACAGTGACAGTGACAGTTTTAAAAACTGCACTGCACTGAGTGCTGACCTCAGCATCCTCTCCTCATGTGAACCCTCACTGCTCTGGGAAGAGAATTGGCTCTCCTCTGTTTATACCTCCATGCTTTCAGTGATCAGACTTTTAGCCAATTCCACCTTGTCCAGGCCTTTGGTGGCTTTGCACTGGGCCTTTTCTTTTCAGGATCTTTGTTTTGCTTTAAACCTGCCAAAAGTGAGAAGTAAATTAGAGTCTGTTGCATTTCCTTCCTTGGAGTTGGTGATTTTAAGTTTTTTCCTTGCTTTTTAAACAAGCTGCAGGTGCTGTCCTGTGTGTGTAGTGTCTGTGATTCTTAGAGTAGCACCTGATAGTTAATAAATCTCACAACTCACCAAGAAGGAGCCACACTATTTGGTTGCTTTTACTCTGGAGTTAAAAACAAGACAAAGTAGTTTTAACCTAATAAAGTGTGATGACATCTCTAGTTTTCCGCATCTTACAGTGTTTCTGATGATAAATCCCTTACCAGGCTGCCTGCCTTAATTTGATTAACAGGTTGTTCCTAGCAAGGATTCATCCAGATTAAAATTTATAGCTAGGACACAGTACATGCCATGAATGTACCAGGCCGTGCACTGGGCACTTGGGGTAGTTTGGGCACATTTCCCTTTTCCTGGCCCTTGTGGACCTTTTCTTGGTACCTTTTCCCTTCTCATTCTAGATATTTAAAACCTTGGGAATGGAGAGAAAATAATAGCAGACAGTTGGCGCTTGCTTTTCATGCAGCCAACTCGAGTTCAATCCCTGGAACCCCATATAGGGTCCTAGGAGTCATTCCTGAGCTCAGAGCTAGGTGTAAGTCTTGAGAACTGCCAAGTGTGGCCCAGCATTCTCCACACACCCCCAAAAAATTAGGTTTGAAAAGCTCTCAACCCACCAGAGACCTAAAGTCAGGTAGATTTTGGACTTAATATGACTTAATTTGACTTAATATGCAGATAGTAACGTGACTACGGGTATTAATACTTTAGTGATTTATGAAATTATTGCTTACTTAATGCATTTGATATCCATGTGGATTTTTATTTCACATCAGGCCTCACTACCCATAAAAGTTTATAAAGGGCTTTCACTGTGAAGAAAAGCCCATACTTAAAGCCTTTCTAATACCAGCCCGATATGTAAAACTGCTCCGTTTTGGTTTGTTTATGGCTTCTCTCTGTATGGGGTCTAGTCTCTCACTGAATGAACTATTAAGAGTTTGGAAGTGTGGACCCTCCCATTTGGGTTGAATTGGGGAAGATGGGAGAGCTGAAGGTGATTTGTCAGTAATGCCTGAAAGGGCTGAGCACCAGGCTTTGCCCTAGCCACAGAAAGACATGCCCTGCCCTGGCTCAGCGGTTTTGATTGAACCCAGAGGGAAGAGGGAACCCACCCCAAGACCCTTCCACCAATCTGCACTTGGGCTCTTGGGGTGGGTCCTGACTGATCTGCAATTTAAAGATTTACGACCACCCAGTGCACACCTAAGATTTTGAGTTTAGGGGGAAAGTAATGGTGAATGTGGATATTGTCTGTCTCATGCTTGACTAGACTCATCCTTACCCTGTGATTAGGTGCTGTCTTTCAAAAACTCTGGATTCATTTAGGAATGAGAAGTAGAGGCCTGTTCTGAAGCCATTCTTAGCCAGAGTCTGAGAGAGGTGCACATACTTTCTAGAGTGAGGCGATGATTAGCCTTGAGGGGAAGAACAGTTGTCAGCGAGCCTTTAGCTTGGTGGAGGCCTGTGAGATCTCTCCCTGGTAAGGCCTTGAACTTTCTCTGGGGAGTTTGCTACAAGATGCAGTACTGTGTTTTAAGAAAATAAAGATTGACGGATGGAAGTGGTATCACTTCATATTGCTATTTTTTAAGCTGCATGGAACAATACCTGAGGTTTGAATGGAGGCAGAAAAGAAACCATTATAGTCTGCGCATTGGTTGGCCCCACTCCCATGCCCCCATGTCCAGTTTGGGGACCCAAGGCCCTCTCTCTGCTTCTGGCCACACTGCTGGTTTCCTCCCCTTCTTTTTTCACCTCCCTGCACTGTTCTTACTCCCAGGCTGTGCTTTGGGTGACCTGATAAGCTAGGATGAATTTGACAGTTTTGAAAACTTTTGCAAGACATTTTTTTTGGTACCTGACTTTGACAATACCAGGAGCAAGACCAGTGCTCAGGGCAGTGATTCTGCTCAGAAGTGTCCCAACTCCCCATGTGCCAAGCTGACTTGACTTGCCTCTTTCACTCTTCAAGTTTTTCTTATTTTTAGTTCATTTCCTCTAAATGTAGAATGCAGGCTATTTGCTCTCTGGAGTAAGGTGTTTAGATGGCGGCATCAGCAAACAAGTAGAATCGTGTTTGTTGATTAGGATATTGTCCTGGTGCACTAAGACTGCCGATGAGTCCGTTGCTACTCCTTGGAGTCTCCCCTACTCTGAACTGGTTCTGTGCTTCTACCTCCATCATAGGACCCGCAAATCAAGCTGACCCAATCTAGTCGGTGAACAAAAATCTTAACAAGATAACAACTCATTAGAACATCTTTTTGATTTTTAAATGGTACAAAAAGTGCCATTTAAAAGAAGAGGACTAGGAGCTCATCCCTTGCAAGCCTTGGCTTGTTGGACACTAGTCCGAGAAGAAAGTTGAGTCAACCCTCCCACCTCAGCAGAGTATATTATGTGCAGTGAAAGGGATAGGTTTCTGCCAGCAAAGATGATTTTTTCAAGGATAGGATGAGAGTCTCGAGGTAGTTTTTGTTTATAATCTGGATGAAGAGTACAAATTGGAAAAACAGTCATGATTTTGCTAAATTGCTTGCAGTTGCAAAAGTCACATTCTATTAGAAGCCACTAAAAGGAGCTTGGAAATGCTTTTCTGAGAGCAAACTGGCCCAGGGATTGGGGTAATAGGATTTGTACGCGCTTCTGTTTTCTGCCCTACTGGTACCAGCTGGATTCCTTTCCAGCTGTTTCTAAGAAAGTGCCCCTGTATTCAGACGTGCCAGAGAACATTGATAATGTAGCGATTTTTGTGGGAAAAATTAGTGCCTGAGTGTTCCTGCCCCTGTTTAGCTTAAGTAAGTACCACAGAATGCCAAAGAAGCCGCTTCTTTAGATGGGTGCTCCCCAGGTTTCCCAGCTAGGGTACCAGGAGAACTGGGACTCGCTTTGGTCTTGGCAGGGATGCAGATGGAATCTTTAAAGTGCAGACTAATGCCTTTGACTCAGAACATACTTCAGCTGAAAACTTTTCCATAGCAATGCTTGAACTGGAGTCTACTGTATCATCTGGAATTCTGCTTAAATAATTAAGTCAGCGTTAAGTTTAAATGTAAATTTTAAATACAAGCCACTTAAAAGAAGGCTGGGAATTTGTTGCACAGGTAAGTTAACCACAGAAGGGGATTTAGGCCTCAGGCGTCCAGTAGTGGCAATTTTATTTTTTCAACTTTAAAATAGAATTTCAATTTAAAATAATTGTATTTGTTTTAGTCTTTAATGATTGCCAGGATGTATAATCTAATACTCTCAATTGGAATGGAATTCTTTAAAACTCATGTGGATTCAATTTTCCTTGCAGTAACATTTTCTTCTCACTTGCTTTTTATAATCACTTCCAATCTTTGCCAACCCAGCTCAAGTGTAGGAACATTTTCAGATGGCTTCTATTTCCAGGCTATTATTGGACTTGTGAACCAGGCACATTCTCCTGTCATGATTCCGTGGGCTAGCCATTCAGAAAACAGAGGTAATGGTCAGTCTGAAACAGGAAGCTTTAGACTGTACCTCTGCTGTACTCTGCCCTATGCCCTACGTCCTCGAGCTTTGAGGATGCTGGGATGCAGCCACCACTTGAAAGGAGGGAGAGAAGGAGCTGAGGGTGTTCTCTGGCCCTTCCTTGCCAGCTTGCTTCTTAGCTCACCCGAAGTTCTCCCAATACCGGGTGACAGTCTCATTGCAGAGAAGCCAACCAAGTCTAAGATGACATCTCTTACATCAGGCCCCACTTGCTGGCCCTAGAGCTGCATTCTTTTTAAATACAGGGTCAGATGAATCCACTGTTTTCTTGGTTATTACAGTTCCCTGCTCACCCCCACCCCATACACACCCACAGAGATGTTGATGTCATTAGTCAATGCAAGGCTTTCGTTGGCGAGGTTATGTAGCATGGTGGGCCTGAGTATTGGCCTTGAGCTAGCATTCTGGTTTTTGATTCCTTAGGTGCCATTTGTGACCAAGGCTGGCAGAG